AATTGAACTTTTTCTTTGACAAGCTGTAATTAGGAGAAAAAAGAAAATTCCATTACTATATTGTTTTTAACATATTCAAACTGTATTGAAATTTATTATACAACTTAATCTATATAAATATTATTCCAAAACTTACGGAATACTTTAACATATGGTTTTCCATCTTCATTATACGATACCTAATAAATAGAAAAACTTATATTTCTATTTCTACTGTAAAACATATTTATCAAATTTATATTTAATTAATATATTTATTATTTCTAAAAAAAAAAAAAAAAAAAAGAAAACAAAAAAAAATTTGTTTCATATATAATTCATTATAAGAAAATATACTTACAGATAAAATATTTATCTTATTTATGTTTTGAGATAATATATTTCGATACTTTAGTAGAAATTCTTTTTCGTTTGCGGATAATGGATGATTTACTAGCCTTTCCATTGTTTTGATAAAGTATTCGTACTAAAAAATAGACACAATTTTTTTTTTCTCTTCTTATTTAATTATTATGAAGGTAACTTAAAAATAACAAATTTCTTTAAAACTTACATGATGATCCATCAATCTTTCATTTAATAACTGTTCCAATTGTACTTTTGATTTCCACATTGATCCATATGTATCACTGAAAATAACAGAACAATAAAATATATATTAAATAATATTTAAAATTTTATCATATAATTATTGTGATAAAACTAATAATATATAACATACAATTTATTTTTATTAGGAAACGTTCCGGTAGATTTAATTAAGTTATCCTCTAAGTCTTCTAAATTCTTTAATTTTTCTGTTATTTTCTGTAAATAAAAAATTACATTAAAAATTTTCCTTATGTATAATAGTTTTAATTAATGTCATTTAAAGTCTTACGTGAAGTGTTTCATAATAGAAAGGATATAAGGTATAAAAAAAGGAATGACACGGTTTTCCATCTGTAAAAAATTGTCCTGTCTTTTGTAATGGTAATACATCCTTAGGATGTTTCATTATGGGACGTGCTTTAGAATCAAATAATCCAGATGGAAAAAGATATTCTATTGATCTCTAAAAGAAATTTTACAATCGTTATAATCCGTGTAATCGTAATTTGTTATCATATTAAGAACAATCATAAAGAATTATAACTTGTTGTATTATTACAACTTACATCGATATCATTTTGGGTAAAATTTTCAGGATCCTCACCCATCATATTTGCTAGATGTCTTTTACCCTTTTCATATGCTTCTGTTTCTACTTTCATGAGTTCCTCTATAAAAAAAAAAAAAACAACATTCATAAAGATTCATCAAACATATATTTTTATTATAAATAGATACATTGATCTTAGAATGAATAAATAAAAGGATATTATGTAAAAAAAAATAACTAACCGTTTGCTTTAATACGCTTTAAATAATTTTGCATGATTTTAGAGAAACTTGTCAATTCCACTTCGTTTGTCATAGAAGAAGGCTCTTGCGTACTGGATAAACGATAAATTGATTCCTAATATTAAAAGAAAAATATAGATAAGTTTACATATATTTTGAGGTTAACTTTAAAATCATTATACGGTTTGAAATATTAATATCAATGACATATCAAACCATTAATTTAAAATTACCAAGCATTGAATTGGATTAGATGTAATACCCGGAACATTATTATTAATTCTCAATAAATTGCGAAAATTTGAAAAACGTACGAACATAGGAGTCGCCATTTTTACAGTTTTAAGGATAATTCAGAATCTAATAAACATACACACGATAATCGTAATATCGATATAAAATTCGATTGTAGAATTTCGATATCAAGATCGATCTATGGACTAAATTAACGTCCACGACATTCAACAGGTAGGATATATATATATATATATATATATATATATATATATATATATATATATATATATATATATATATATAATATATATATATATAATATATATATATATATATATATATATATATTCTAATTATTATGAACTGCAAAGTATTATAATATTAATAAAATAAATTTCGAAAATAATATTGTTTCTTCATTTTTAAAAGAAAAATAAATCTATTGCCAATCTAGACAATTTATATAATTCATGACGTACTTGCCTTTCATCATGGCACACGTCAGCACAGTACGCCCTCTATTTCATGACTTATATTTGTATATGTGATGTGGAGAATAGATTGGCTTATGTAAAAAAAAAAGAAAAGAAAAAGAAAAAAGAAGAAAAGAAAAAAAGAAAGAAAGAAAGAAAATTATATTAGGTTAATATAAAGCACGTAGCGTGTTAGAATTATTTCTCAAAATGGTACGTATATATATTTGTTATTAAAATTATACCAATTTTAAGATAACTATCGTCGTTTGATATGGTTCACGTGAATATACAATATTACATCTCCATTTACAGATGTCAACTGCCAATTTTAATTTTCTTACCTATAGAAGGACAGATTTTCACGTTAATCATGTATTAAATTGATTTTTACATTTTTTTAGGTACTTATCGCTGCTGCTATATGCACGAAGGCGGGTAAAAGTAAGTATATTTCTCATAAATCATAACGTTATTACACATTCATGCGTTCACGTGTGTGTTCATTCGTAATACACCCGGTTCTCTCAAATTATTCAATGTAGATAATAGATTTGATGTCTTTTAATCATTTACAAATTCATATTTATTGGTATTAATTATATTTGGATATTAATAGCTTAGGAATATAAAGGACCATAGTATTATATTTTTTAATTAAAATAATTAAAAAGGAATTATTGTATTGAGACAAAGATAGATAAAGAACAAAAAGAATATATATATATGCATATGTGCATATACATGGCTTTATCTTTTTTTTAGCTATTATTTCCCGTCAATTTGTTGAAATGACAAAAGCACGAATTGAAGGGTTATTGGCTGCATTTCCAAAATTAATGAGTTCCGGTAAACAGCATACTTTTGTTGAAACAGAATCTGTGAGATATGTTTATCAACCATTAGAGAAAGTATACATGTTACTCATTACGACCAAGGCTAGCAATATCTTGGAAGATTTAGAAACTTTACGACTTTTTGCAAGAGTGGTTAGTATTGATATTATATATCGTTGTACGCTTTAAATTAAGAACTATATCTTTTTTTAGATCCCTGAATATTGCACTTCAATGGATGAAATTGAAATAGCAGATAATGCATTCAATTTAATATTTGCATTTGATGAAATAGTTGCGTTAGGATATAGAGAAAGTGTTAATCTTGCACAAATTAGAACTTTCGTTGATATGGATTCTCATGAGGAAAAGATTTATCGTGCTGTGAGAATGACACAGGAACGTGAAGCTAAAAATAAAATGCGTGAGAAAGCTAAAGAATTACAGAGGCAACGAATGGAAGCGAATAAAAGAAATATCAAGAGTTCAGGTTTTATTCTTGGTGGTGGTTTCAGTGGTGGTGGTTTCTCTCCAACTCCTACGATTGGAGATACTGCCAATTTTGTACCAGATTCAGTTAGACCATTGTATACTCCAGTACAGTGAGTTCAGTTAATTGCAATGTTTTTTTTAATTTTTATATAATTGTATATATATATATATATATATATATATATATAATATGTTTATAGAAAGCCAGCTAATACTGGTCCAAGTGCAATGAAACTTGGTGGAAAATCTCGTGACGTTGATTCATTTGTTGATCAATTGAAAGAAGAAGGTGAAAATGTTGTAAGCACTCCACTTGCAGCATTGGGAACAAAGCCTGTGCCAATAAGTCCTCAGATAATTAATACTGAACCGTATGTCCTTTATTATATTAAATCTTAATAAATGTTGATTTATTTATATTTATTTATATCAATAAACTTTATAAAAATAGTATTCATTTGCGACAAGAAGAGAGACTTAATGTACGTGTCGGCCGTGATGGAGGTCTTCAGCACTTTGAGTTACATGGTTTAGTAACATTACATATCTCTGATGAAAAATGGGGTCGTATTCGTGTTCAACTTGAAAATAGCGATTCAAGAGGAATTCAATTACAAACTCATCCAAATGTCGATAAAGAATTATTTAGGACTCGTGGTCAGATTGGATTGAAAATACCTACTAAACCATTCCCATTGAACACAGATGTTGGCGTATTAAAGTGGCGTCTACAAGCTCAAGATGAAACGGCATTACCAATTTCAAGTATGGCTTTTTTTTTTTTTTTTTTTTTTTTTTTTTTTTTTTTTAATAAGCTCACAATTTTTTTTAAAGGATATATAAAAATTTTTTTTTTTATCCACGTGAAATTAACTTGAAAGTATAAACGTTTAAAGATTTGTTTTAGTTCAAGTCATTTAAATAAATTCAATTATTTAATCCTTCAGTAAATTGTTGGCCTAGCGAAAATGGTGAAGGAGGTTGGGATGTAAACATTGAATATGAATTGGAACAAGATGATCTTGAATTAAATGATGTAAACATAAACATTCCACTTCCAATTGGATGTACTCCTATAGTAAGCTCGTGCGATGGGCAATACACACATGAAACAAAGAAAAATATATTAGTATGGACACTACCATTAGTTGATGCATCAACAAAGTCAGGTTCAATGGAATTTTCTGCCCCATCTTCTACATCTGCAGATTTCTTTCCACTTCACGTTTCATTTGCATCAAAGACGTCATATGCCAAAATTAAGGTATTGTATAGATTTTTGAGAAATTTTTTATTTTACTCATCTAAAAGAAATATGAATAATTATTATTTTCTTCTCTCTCTTTAATATTTTTTTTTCTTCTCTCTCTCTCCATGTTCAGATCACGGAAGTTTTACTAGTAGAAGATGAGAGTCCTGTAAAGCATTCTATAGAAACAGTTTTCTTTACTGACAATTATGAAGTGGTATAAATTGCAGAAAAAGTAGATATTAGTCTACATACGCTTTGAACACATGGAAATGAATACGGTACACTGGAAAACATAATTTTAATAATAAGTAAATAGCCTAATTAGTATTCATATGCCAATCAGATTTCTATTTCCATATGATCATTTATTTGATGATACATGGTGTCACTGCAAAAAATGTATTGCAGTATATTAATGTGCACATTACAATCATATTGTTATAATGTATGTTCAATATTCATTTATCAGATATAAAATTGCAGAAAAGCCGTATTTTAATTAAAAAAAAAAAATTAAAAAAAAAAATAAAGAAAAGAAACGGAAGAAAAATAAACCTCCTCGGATGTATAAATTTTAATGAATTAATCGCGTATATAAGATATTTTATAAATGCTATATATGTTTGATTATTTATATCAGATTAAATATTAATAACAAAGTCTTTCATCTATTTTGAAGAAAAAAAATAATTTCACCGTCTATATGCCTTTTGTGCATTGTTACATACATATGATGATATAGTGTACTAAAAAAAAAAAAAAGAAGAAAGAAAAAAAAAGGAACATAAAATTGTAAACAGAGAATTTTTTTTCTTTTAATAATTTATTAAATGTTATAGTTACACCAATTCCTTTAATCCTTATATTAGAATAATGTATAAAAGCATTTAGCAATGTGACTTTAATTTGAGTTACCGAAATTTATAAATATTTTTTTAATACATAGATATATATATTATGACAAATATATATATATATATATATATATATATATATATATATATATATATATATATATATATATATTATGATTATATAAATCATATTCTTTTCTTATAACAAAATATTATACTTTCTTAAAGAAAAAAAAATGAAAATGTATTAATATTAGCATTGAAAAATTTTTATTTTTTAATAATTTTAATACATACTTATGGAACACAGTTAAGCCATTTATGCATATTGATATATGCGCTATTACTTTTTATATACACATTCTGAGATATTATTTCTCAATTATTTTTGAATGAATTTATTTGACTCTTTTATAAGCCGTTTCGAATTAATTATGAATTAACACATGTATATAAATAATAAAACTTTCATATTGTTATATCTATTAAGTATGTATTATAGTTAAAAAACATAATAATAAAAAAGTATATATTTTATTGTTCATTAATACATGCTTAAAATTAAGCAAATTTCATTAATATACGATAAAAATGATGGAATTAATGGGTATGTCAAGTGAAAGCAAACAAGAGTTGTTTAAATTTTTCGGAATTATTGGATCATGTTTATAGGGATATTCTAAAATAAAAACAGTGAAAATTATTATTTATCTGTCTTGATCATTATTTCATCAATATGTAGAAATTGTTATTATTAAGAGAATAATAATTAGAATCTATATATATATATATATATATATATATATATATATATATATATATATATATATATTATAATAAAATTATTTTCACTGGTATTAGTGTAATTATTATATCTTTAATCAATTTTTAACTTTTATTACAATTGCCATTGCATTTAAAATATGTAGCCACTCTTTGTCCAGCATGAGAAATATATTCAATATTATGTATTTCTTTACGTACATTTAATTATTTTTATTTTATTATTAGCAATAAAAAAATAATTATTTCTGGTATAAAAATGACATTTAAAGATAATATACAAAATAATATATAATATTTATTATAATAATGATAATATTTACACAACTTTTAAAAATATTTAAACAATATATAATTAACAAGTTATTGCAATATATCCGATGGTACATTTACTACTTGCTGCAACAGATAATTTTCGATAACTGCTTTAGCTGCAAAAAAAAAAAAAGAAAAAGAACAAATATTTATTCTTAATAACTTTTCAAATTAATATTTAATTATAATTCTATTAATTACATTGATATAATTTTTCCTAATCTTACCAGTTAATGAATTATTTATTATTGCAGCTTGATATGCACTTATATTGTGCACATTACGATGTGTAATATCTGCCCCTCTAGACAAAAGTTCAAAACAAACATGCGGATGATCACCATGAGCACCATAAATAAGAGGTGTGTTCCCTTCCTAAATTAAATATATTTAATTGTTATTACTCGTTTCTCATTTATATTGTAAAATGTATTAAAATAATGAAAAATATATATAAATAAGATTTTATAGACCTCGTCACTTGCATTTGAATCGGCGCCATGATTCAAAAGTAATTTAACAAGATCATGATGTCCATAAGCAGCAGCTAAATGTAAAGGTGTCTCTCCATTGTGACCACGATAATTTTTATTTGCGCCAGCCTTTAATAATTGTCTTGCGCTACCTAATTGTCCATATCCTGCAGCCCACATAAGACCTGTTAAACCTTTTTCATCTGGAAGATCTACAGATCCTGTAAAATAAAAGGCTTGCGTCATAAAAACAAATAATTGTTTAATATTGTATTAATTTTGTTCATGAACAGGTACAAAGAACCTGGTTGAATGCTTTCAGGAGTAAGTTCTCCTTGACCAGCTAATGTATGAAATGTAATGTCTGTTCTTCCATAAAGTTGAGGTATTTTTGTTCGGGTATTACCTCTTTGCAAATTAGTTAACAAAGTTGGTGGCTGTAAGTGCGTTATTATAAAAATTAAAATAAATAATATAGTAATGTATAATGAATCAGAAAAATTATACCTTATAAGGTTGAAAGGCACTGGTTCTGGTTGCATCTTGCCATGCTCCTGGTGCCCAATGCCATTTCCTTTCTATAGGTTCTGATCTACACCCTATATTTGCATTATCTGGTTTATAGATCAAAGGCCTTGGTCGTATACCAATTGCCGTTTCAGTGTTATCTCGTGTCGTTCCTTTAAATTGCAATAACATTTAAATTTATTACCTTTCACTTTTTTGATAAAAACTTTACCTTCTTTTTTGCTTGTTGAAGATTCACATTCTTCTTCCCCGTTTTCTTCCTCTTTTATAATTAATTCCTCATGAATTCGATTTTCCATGACCGTTTAAATATTTATATTAGACTACATGAAAATATATACAAAATATTTGGTTGTATTAAACCAAAGCATTTCACAAATATTTATTAAACAATTTGTTTCACTTAATTATTAATTATATTTCCATAATAAATGATAAAAGGTATATGCCATAAGTTGAAGCATTAATAAATAAAGAAATTAAAAATTAATATTATTTATCCATTATAACTGGAATAAAATGGTCAAAAAATGTATATCTGTTTACAAATAAAGACAAAGCGCATTCCAAATTAGTGTCGACATTAGCGCCAAATTTGAAATTCCATCGGATTTGTTATTCGAATTGATGTTGCAAATTCTTCAGATTCTCCATGCATTATCATTCATATTTCTTAAAATAATGTATAGTTATATTGTTAAATACACACACACACACACACACATATATATATATTATTATTATTCAATATTAAATCAGATTGCAGGAGCATGAGCAAAGGTCATGAGATTCGATAGCACAGATATACATAAACAAACTGCGCGGTAAGAAAAAACTGCATCGATGGGATCATCACAGTTGCCAGGAGAATTCCCTCACGAGGGAACACATGACGTCAAATTACCCCCACTGTCATTCTACAGCTACGTCACTTGATCACGTGACATGAGTTATGTCTTATGATACGTCGACTAACCTAACCAAACCCTAACAATTACTACTGCTGTTACTACACTACTGCTACTATATTACTACTACTACTACTATTACTACTACTACTACTGCTATTATTACTATACTATTACTATACTACTACACATACTATCACTACCATCCCCCACTATCGTCCAATTTTTATCCCCTCGATTTGGTAATGCCAGTAACAAGATGGTCGCGGCATGATTTTTCCATAGCTCGTGCCTCGAGTTGCATTAAGGTTATGTCATTGATAACTTTCTTTTATATTGCATAGTTTATTGTTAATCATGTCCGACAAAGTGCAAGAAGAAAAAAAAGTAAAGAAGACGGAAGTATTAAAATGGTCAAAAGATGATATTTTGCGTTTTTTGGCAGTGTACAAAAAGTATGAGGAATTGTGGAATACTTCGAATGAAAATTTTATGCGCAAAAACGTACGCGAACACAATTTCACAAGGTTATATCGGGAACTTATTGGGATGGGTTTTAATATTCGTACGGAAGAACAAATGAAGAGAAAAATTAAGAATTTGAAGGATGCATTTAGAAATGAAGTGAACAAAGTTAAGAAGTCTAAAAAAAATATATATATATATTTCTTAATAACTGTAAATTACAAGACAAAAAATTTTATTTCATTTTAAATGACATTTGAATAGATTATTATTCTTCTATGTTGTTACGAACCTTACAAGAAAGAAAAAAAAAAAACAGTATGAAAGTCAATTAAGTTTAAACGAAAATAAAATAAATTTTAGGTTAGGATTAAGTTTCTTTTTCATTCATAGGGTCAATCAATGACAACAGAGAATTTAATAGAAAAGGATGACAATGACTTTATCGACAAGAATGAAGACAAAAACAATCCCAGTGAAGAAAATGATCAAACTTCTGAATTACAGAATGATACTTTGCATGCTGCTTCAGTAATATCACAAGAGAAAGTAATTATCAAGAGGAAGCATTCGCCTATGATGGCTAAGGAAACTTTGAAGAATAGTTTGACGAATAAAGTTAAAAAAAATTCTTTGAGTTTTCAAAATGCCGTTTCACAACTTCATGAAATTACTCAAATGACAACGGAAATCAATGACGAATATGAATGCTTTGCGAAATACATTACGTCTCAATTTAAACAGCTACCATTGAGAAGTTTTGTTGTATTACAAGAAAAAATACAAAGTCTTATTACTCAGGAAAGATTGGCCAGTATAGGACAATTGGCTTCGTATCCATCCTCATCTTTATCTTCATATATTTATTCTATTAATTCGAATGTCGATCGGCCAAATAAAAACATTGATAAAGATAATTATGAAGATGATTTAGAAAAATTTATGAAAATAAATAGGTTGGAGATTGCAAGATTTTTTTTTCCTTTTTTTTTTTTTTTTTCCAATGAAAACATATATATATGTATATATATTTTCTTTTTTTTGTTTTTTTTCATTGCTTTTTATATCTCATTATACATATGCTATGTAATTCTTTATAATTATTTATTTAAAAATATTATCATTATTACAGATTAATGCCGGATAAAGAGTTCTGTGTTATTGATAATCGATCAACTATACGATCTGGAACAGTACAATGTGAAAAAGATGAAGAAGATCCTTTTGACTTGGATAAGTTTTTAGAACAAACAAAACATATTGATAATTCAACAAATCTAACGAAACAATTTAAGGATGAACGAGATCATCAACGTCGTGGGAATCGTAACAAACGAAGAAAATATTAATCGTAATTTTCATTGAATTATTGTTATTCCATAGATTTACATATAATTATCATTTATGATATCGAAATAAGTTTTAAATTCATATTTGTTTGTTAAATTGTAAATGTAAATAATTTATAAATAAGATATATTTTATGTGATTTTTAAAGAAATATCATAATTTTTTTATCTTTTTTTTTTCTCTAATACATTACATATGTTTATATAGAGTTGAAAAATCGTTCCTATGAGGACAAGTGGACGTGATTTGGGTATAACAAAAATATAAATAAAAAGTTCACGATAAGGATGCTATTTAAATCAGTGCGACTATCAGCCCTTTTGGTTTTTTTTTTTTTTTTCTACGAATAGAAGAAACGAGTAGAAATAAAAAGGAAGATACGAAGTCACGTGACGTTAAATAAGAAAGACAAGACAAAGGAAAGATTTTATATAAATGAAGAAGCATTGTTTATTCAGCCAATCAATTAATGGATGAGATGTAATTAAAAAATTTCTTCAAAGGTATTGTACTAATAACATTGTTACATTATATGTAGGGGTTTTTTCTTTTTTTTTTTTAATCACAATATTTCATATTCATTTCTTCATTTAAACCATTTAAGAGAAGCTTGATAAAAGAATTAAAAAAAAAAAAAAAAAAAAAAAAAAAAAAAAAAAAAAAAAAAAAAAGAACAAAGACAAAAAAAAAGAAGAAAAAAAAAAAGAAACAAAAAACAGAATATACATTATTTTATCGCACTTAAGTTTGTATGCATTGTTAAAATTCATCGTGTTAATAATTTTTTTTTTCAGTCAATTTCCTTGTGTTCAATAATGTCATACGAAGAAGAATGGAATCGCTTATTATCATACATTGGAGAGATCAAAGTTCAATGAAATTCGAATGTCATAATGAACATTGTCAAGAATTTTCAATTATACTTCATATTTATCAATGCGTTTTAATGTTAATATTCGATACTTTCAAATCATGTGACTGATAAAGTTGAAATATAAAGATCATTATGATAAAACAGCCATATCATAATGGATTTCTATAATCCACACGTAAAAGCCCCAATATGACAATTATACGAGCATATAATTGTTATAATAACAATGTGAAATGTAACAATGATATTTTCATTTTTAATGACATGATAAAATTATCATCACTCTCATATCCGATACTGAATAACAATTAATTGAAAATGATATTTACAATTGTTAATTCACCTTTGAAAAAAAGTTTGATCTCACTTAAACAAAGTAACTTGTAATATTAATATCGATGCTGTATCCCATATAATGTATAATATCAAAAATTTATTTATATATTTTTCTTATAAAAATATAATTATAAAAATATTATGAAAATAATAAAAAAAAAAAAAAAATGATAAATATTTCTAGTTAATTACTTAATTAATTTTTTTTTTCTTAACATATAATATTTAATTTATAAATCATTAAAAAGTTGTAAAATATGTTTTACAACATCCAAAAAAGAAATAGAATTTCATTTCATGTGACTACAAAGTACAATTTATTTTCATAAAATAATAATAATACATGGGTTATCTATCAAGACTCGTGAATATAAATGTACAATCGTGCCTTCATTTTTTTTTTTCTAAATAATTTCCATAAGATTAATGTCATCGATTATATTACTAATAATAATAATAATAATAATAATAATAATAATAATAATAATAATAATCAAAATAATAATAATAATAATAATAGTAATAATAATAATTATTATTCTTACTGTCACACTCACAACAATTGTTTATTTATTTACAGAAATTACATATTGGAATTAATATTTTACAAGTGTATCTCCAATTTTTTTTTCTCTCTTTCTCTCACACAAATGAGATTGTTTTTTTATTCTTACTCAGTTGTAATCTATATTGTCAATTACTTTTGGCTTCGCACGTATCATTTTAGTTCATAATTATTCTCTTTTTTTTCTTTCTCTCTCTCTCTCTCTTATTTTTTATGATATATTATAATTCCATACTACAATGAAAAAAAAAGAAAAACAAAAAAATATTAATGTGCTATAAAATTAATAATATGAAATTATATTCATAATAAAATTAAATCAATTACAATTAGATTTTAACTATAAGTATTTTTAATATGACAAGTAATAGATAAG